TTCTTTCTTCGTCACTGACCAGTTTTGAGGTGCCGTGTTTGACTGATGCAGTGGAAGCGTGGAAAATGGCTTGCCCACTTACGGATTTACCTGTTCATCCATCTTCTCAGAGACAGTGGGACGTGCCGCTGTGCAGTGTTATTCGTGAGTCTTTAATCAACTCGTCTCCTAATACTGCAGAGCGAGCTCGCTTATTGGCTGTGGGAGAATGGGAATCAGGATTGTGGCTTCAGGCACTCCCGTCACCCTTCATAGGTACTATGTTGGATGACATAACGTTCCGCCTAGCTGTATGCCTACGTTTAGGTGCTCCTTGTGTTTCTCCGCATTATTGTCACTGTGGAGAAAGAGTCGATGGCTTGGGACACCATGGTCTTTCTTGTTGCAGAAGTGCAGGCCGCATAGCTCGCCATGCCAGCATCAACGACATCATTCGTCGTGCTCTTGCCTCAGCCGGTGTACCAGCCGTATTAGAACCTAATGGTTTGGTACGTGATGACGGCAAAAGACCAGATGGTATGTCGTTGCTGCCTTGGAAGATGGGTAGGCCTTTGGTGTGGGACGCGACTTGTGTAGACACCCTTGCGCCATCACATCTTTTAAGCACCGCTGCATGCGTTGGTGCGGCTGCTTCCGCGGCAGAGGCCCTCAAACGGCGTAAATATTCAAATCTAGTGGGTAACTACTGTTTTGAGCCGTTTGGGGTCGAAACACTTGGGCCATGGGGTCCCAGTGCACACTCTGTGTTTAAAGACATCGCCCGTAGGCTAATCGACTCTACACGTGACCAGAGGGCTGGCTTTTTCTTCGGACAGAAAATAAGCATTGCCATTCAACGTGGCAACGCTGCCAGTCTTCTGGGAACTTTCCCCTGTGATAGTGATGCGGACGAATACTTTGACGCCTAAATTAAGGGTATAATTTTTGTTGTTTTCTTTTACTTTCTTTTTTATTTAATAGTTTAGTTGTAGTTAATTTTAAGTTGTAAATATTTATGCAATAATGTTTACCTTAAACGAGGCATGTATCAACAGTCCCCCAATGAATATCTCGGCGAAGGCCAGCAGCGAGAGCGTCACGTAGAAGATGAGCCGGCTTTGTGGCAGGTCGCCCAGCGCCGCCAGTGGAGCGTACACCAGGAGCGCACATACTGCCAGGAACTGAAACCATGTACAGCACAGCACATAAAAAAAAATATCGTTAATTGATAGTTTTTGGAGGTACATAGCCTGTTATTGCAGATCTACGCATTTTTAGGTACATATTTGAGTTTCGTATATTTGTCAATTAGCACAGCTAGATGCTCGTACCAAATCGTAAATTCGTATCAAGAATATTGAACAACAAACTCCATCAACGTTATTTTATATGATTTCGGATTTACGCCTTATTAATCTCTTTGATAATTGATGTAGCTATACAACTTAAGATAAAAAAAATGTCTAAGATTTCCGTATTTATTTAGTTTTTTAGTTCTAAGTTAAAGCAATACGTTATGACGTCATTATCTGTCATACCAATTACCCTTCTTTGTTCATGTTTCTAGACACATGGTATTAACTGCATAAATATTTTCCTTTCAGTTCTGTGTATGTCGAATTAGATCACCTCTCACCAGATTGCCTGCATTATCTCATATTAGCTTACAAATATTTTGTTCAAATATCTGCATTAGATTAGTAAAATCAAGGTGTCCAACGCAATACAGGTCACTATTTTCACCACCTAACTTAACTAGAAGTTTATTTCTTGTATAAAATTTTACCTCTTGCTCTTACTCACAAAATCTTATAGAAATGATGTCATTACTAAAACACGTAGTTACCTGTGTTTTACGTGAGCGTAATCACTTTAATATTTATTTGAATGAATTTTACAGCAGTCATAAAATAATTAGTCTGATAGCAGATAGCGTACACTTCTGTAGATATCGTAACTCTCACACGTATACGTACTCCACATGCGACATACGAATACTACCTATTCGGAAAGGAATATACTGCTGTCCAAAGGTTACAAGTGCTACTTTTCCTTACCTAAAATTAAAGAAACACCTAAACTAAGATAGGTGATATTTAACGTCATTTTTTGTGTTTACTTACCTATAAGTAACACCTAACAAGTTAGGGGTTTAGGAGTTTTTGTATACCATGGTGGGTGGTAGCAAAAAAACCACACGGCCCACCTGATAGTAAGCGGTTACCGTGGCCTATGTACGCTTGCAACACTTAGGGAATTATATGCGCCTTGCCGACCCTTAAGAAACCTAGCCCACTGGGAAAACCACGGCAGGGAGTTCATTCCACAAACGGGGGGTCCGTAGGAGGAAATTCCTCTGAAACCAAACTACGGGATTGTATACAATTACGCGGAAAACAACCCATTATAAAAGCGGTAGAACACGCACAAGGAGGCAAAATCTCTCCTTAGACTTAAGTACTCGATACCGCTCGTAAGTATAGGATCGTCTACAAGTCTTACAGCTCTCCTTTGGACCGCGTTATAAGGTATGCTGGCGCTCCTGCCCAGAGATGACAGCAGTATTCCATAATTATGGGAACGAACTTGCGATTTATACAAAAGAGTGTTACGTCACGTTAAGTAACTCTTAGTTAAGAAAATAAAATAGTATTAGAAAATAAATAAACGGCAGTCCAAAGGTTACTAGTTACTAGGTGGCATTAGGTATTTATTATTTACATACGTTTTTTATACAATCTTTTTAGTTAATTTCATTTGTTCTTTATTGTTATCTATTAATTTATGTTTGCATATTTGGTGCATCATACCTAATGGCAATACATTATTTCTCTTTCTTTCTTAATGTACAGACGTGTGACTGTACACAGGTATTGCTAATATTAATTGTGACATAGTATGTACTGAGTAAGGTCTGATAATATTACTCATATACCTATTTATATTTATGTACCAATTCAATGTGACTGCGAGTGCATTGAACTGATTATCATCAAATCAAATGGCAATACGAACGTCGCCTGTCTGCATTCCTAATTAACTATTTTGAGTCATTCTATTGATTGGAATAAAACACAATATAGGTAGCTACAATTACAAATGCTCCAAAATTACGTGATTGGGAAAAATGTTTTCTGTAGTAAACCTAGTGTAAACCTAGTTTCGCTGACGGACAGACTGACAGACTATTATTTTGTAATTGTTGCCGTTTCAAAAGTACTATGTAATGGTTTAATTTTAATTGAAATTTTAGTATGTAAGTCTATCTTTTGTTGGGAGTCCAAAAAAATTAATAAATACTTTGATTTTGTTTATATTTATAACTGGCGTCTATGCATCTGAAATGAACGAGTGTAAGTACATGACAAAGATATTTATATAACTGGCGTCTATGCACCATGGATACTTGATTTTGTAAAAGTCCTATTGAAAAAGTTTTATTTTTATCACATCGACTTATAGTCCAAAATCTTGATTGATCTAGTTGTTTTATGTAGATAGGAACTTCACAGAACTAATGTTTTATAATAGTTTTTAATTTCAGTCGTTTGTAAAGCGTTTGTGTCCTAAGCTAAGACACTTTATTTTATGTTCCTACATTTTTTTCTAAACTAAATTATGTACTCAGCTTTTTACTTTGGAAAAGAACAGATGTACACTTGCACAGGTCAAGAAGGTGAAGTAATATTCTGACGTGGTCACATGTACCTAGTTATAGTGCAATATTAATTAGAAGTAAGTAGTGATGCTACACAGTATACATCTGTGTGACTACAAGCATTATGTTTGTAATTAGCTGTAATATCAGCACGCGGCTAGTGTTAGCAATCTATTAATTCCACGCTCTTATCTCTATACTTTTAACTTAGGTTTGGTATATTAACTGTATAATATATTGTGTGACTGCCGGACAAAGGGTCTCGGGTTCGATTCTCGGTATAAAGTATTGCTGGTTTTTTTCTAGGTTCACAGTAGTAGCATCAAATCTAGGATTGTGTCCGGTATATGGCAATAGCCTTACCCCCTATTACATGTGACTCATAACATAAATAGTGAAAAGTGGGTGTTATATTGTACAGTGGCATTAAGTGTCGTAATGTGCACCTCTGCTCACTCCTTCGGGATAAAAGGCGTGATGTTATGTTATGTATATTGTGTCTACTGTGAGAATAGAAGGAAATATATTGCCGCGACCGAGCCCTACGTAATTTGTGATAAGGCAGTAAATAGAGCGATTTTGACTAGACGGTTGTCAGTATCTGGGAAATTAACTGTCGTGCTATGTGTCACAGGGTTGACGTATATATAGGTACATATAATGTATGTATATATGTGTGTGTGTGTGTGTAGTATGTTATATTTTGTACAAGGTGAGTTATATTTTGTACAAACGTAAATGAAACATAGGTTAACGACATAGATATGGGGAAACGAAAATAAGGCATTATTGGATTTTTTGATAATTATGGTAGGTTAACTCGTCGAGTACCGGTTTTGTAGACACAATTATAGAACAATAGGTTGCGGTCACCGGTGACCGCTTGGTGTTTGACAGTTTAAATGATTTAACTCGTCGAGTACGAGGTATAGAACAATAGGTTGCGGTCACCGGTGACCGCTTGGTGTTTGACAGTTTAAGAGTGGGTAAAAGTTGAAGTAATTACCTACTGCATATATTTTATGAGTGTGCAAAACGATAAATATACCAAGTGTAGGTACTATGTATTGTTATTGTATGCACGGCACATTACACTTGGACTCGGAGCAGCAATGTTATCTCGTATGATCTAATTACCTAGTTATGTAGCAGATAACCAGCAGACTGAGTACCTAAATGTCATCGTGAGAATTACTCTTTATTCTAACTTAGTGCTGACTACCTCGACAATTGGATTATCGTCGTTATGGCGGCCAAGCAAATAAACGAGATCATTGGGACATTTTTGAGACAAGCCCACCCCGTCCTACCAAAACCGCTACAACTCCTGTAAGCCAGGATCGATGTACAGTACATACAACCATGAAAACACCGGGACACTGAAGTCCGGCGTGTCCTAGGAACATGCATTCTTGGTTCCCGCAACGAAATAAATCAGAAGATATGATTAGAGGAGAAGAAGAAAGCGATTGCTCCGATTTCCGAATGACCATTATGACACAGGGTTTACGAATTTCTACACTACACTATTACAATATGAATAGGACTGAATATTATTCAAATTCAAATTCAAATTCAAATTCAAATTCATTTTTTTGCAAGAATACATATTTACAAAGGAAGATCTTACAGCCTCAAAGTCATTGTATTCTGCCTGCGAGCAAGCGTGCAAAGTATAAAAATTTCAAATTAAAGTCACCATAATAATTTTCATAATTACAATACAATATTTACGTTGATATCATAGTCATAGACATATTACATTTTAGTCGTAGATACATTACAGTCACACATTACAAGATAGTCGATTACAAGAAAAAAAAAAATATAAGGTCGAATTGATTATCTGTTACTATATTATTATCTACACGTATAATAAAATCGTAGGAAAGTGATAACTATGCATTGAATTTTTTTTTAAAAGAATACTTGAGCGTGATCTGCAATCGATATCGAAGCTAAAAATATGGTTTCAGATTTTTTATTTGTTTGTCTATATGTATGTATGTCCGGGTTAAACTGAAAAAGTACTGTATGAATTTACTTCAAATTTTGCATGAATATTACTAACAAGTCGTGTCTACATATAGGCTACATGTTATCAAGCTATCACCTACGGAGGAGGAGCTGTGAATCACTATTTCACGCGGACGAAGTCGCTGGCACAGCTAGTCATCTAGATATATATAGTACAATGTGTACCTTATGGAATAACAAGTGGAACGTCGTGGTACTACACGACATGGCTCTTTGAAATATAGTTGATCCGTGAAATTAATTTTCACGGCTAATCTCATCGTGTCGGTATCTTTTCATCACAGTGCCATACTGTTTACATAGTACTAGGCTACAGATGGCGCTGCCAGTACGTAAACATCGGCTCCGTGTTTGAAAATTATTATTAATTTTAATATCGCGTAAATCATATTGAAGGTTGTGTAAATGTGACCTCTCAAACACCCACTGTTCCTACAACTGTTATCCACCTAATATATACAGTGCAAACAATAAACAAAACAATAA